TGAAGTTTGTCATAAAATTCCAATATAATTCATAAAATAAGCAACCAGTATCTGATCTCTGTATTGCTTTGTTTCTGCTAGGGTTTTGGCATCTGCACAAAGAAATCCCAGAGCCAAGACTGGATCTTAAGAATCACTTCAGAGTGCATGCAACCGCATATGTGATTTCATTTAAAAGTCCAATAGCACTTATAATTTCTAAATAAACAGATCTATAAAAATGCCTTCACAGCACATGGTGACTTCCTGGAAGACAAGCTTTATCATGCTTACCTAGCACACTCATTCTAGACTCTTATTCCTGTCTATGTGATTCAAAAGACTACTGGCTCTGAGAAAGGATGACTAAACTAATAGTGTTTAATTGATGCATTTAAAAATATATGTGGTCATTCCCTTTAAAAATAACAAGTACTACCGTTCTATTTTCAAATTTTAAGTACACTAACAGAACCAGGGGAAATTATTTGCATCCTGAATAAAACTTTTTGAGTGGCTGCTTCACTGGATGATCATTTAGCATTTCTTCACACATCATATTTGAGACAAACATTTTCTAGCAAAATAAAGTCATTCCTTTATATAAGAAAATAAATAGGTAATTGTATGCATGTAGGGCAAGAATTTGTCTATTAAACTGTTCTATTTGTAAAGAGAATCTGGATATACAGATACCCGTATTTTAGAAAAGAAAACAAAAAAAAATCTCAAAATGTCAAAATTTATAGTACTAACTACTCTTGTATTCTAGAATGAAAGTTCATCATCATAGATAGGCCATATTAACAGAGTGCACAGCAAGTAAAAGTCCCAGAATAGACAGTACTATTGCATTAGGTCAGTCAGGAGCCCTCTGAGACTAAGATTGGTACAACAGAATTAGGAGTATTTTCTTTTGAGACTCTTGTGTAAGAGTGAGGGATGAGATAACAAAAATAATATAGGATATTCTGAAATAAAAAAAAAAAAACTTCTGGTAAACAATTCTCATCATCATCTCACTTACTCTAGCTTCACATCGGTCCTCTGTTGGTGATTTCTTTGCTCAAATGTCTGTCATAAATGCTTCTCCAAGCACCAGATCTTAAAAACTAATGAGAAGTTCCCTCCTTCCTGAAGAGCTCAGGGAGCTTTGAAGCTTTGAAATTAAGAGTTCTCTTTCCAGCAGCAGAACTTCATGAAAGGCAGTGGCCCTCAATTTAACTGGAGCAAAACCTCATCCTTCACAGAGAATGGGTGGTACTGAATGTTCTTCATAACCTGACTTTATACTACCTGTGCATAAACCTATCCTGGCTTTCAAAGAGCTAGTTGTTCCTATAATATAAGGTTTATAAAAACCTTGCCTCATTTGTGATGCAGAATCATAGACCATTTTCCCCAGATTACTTAAAGGTAAAGACATTTTTCTACAGCAAGAAAGCATACTGTTAGCTGCAATCAATGTTTTATAATTGGGAAGAGAATGCTATTAAGATTTGAAGGCAGCATTCTGAGAAGTCCCTCTTGTTTGCAACTGGCAGAATATCAGCCATTTCAATACAAGTAATGAGTTCCAGTAAACTCATCTAATTACCTCCATCCTGCCTCAACTCAATTCTTCTTACTCCCAGGTGCCTACTCTATCCTCTCAGGGGGAGAAGATAAGCAGATGGATATGAGCAGGTGCATAAGACTGTGCAATCGCTAGCCCTGAGAGCCATTGGTCAATACCCGTGAAGCTAGTTAAATCCTTAGTAAATGGTTCCAAACTCTGGCAGATGCTCCATTGGTCTCTGTGGTACTATTTAACATCTATATGACTCCAAATAAGGAATTCAAATTTTGAAATTGGAGGGTTGCTTCTCTCTAGCATATCATACGTAGCAGTTTATGGCTTTACTCCATAACTAGAGTGTTTTACTCACTATGGAGAACTTGGCTTGATTCTATTTTTCTCAACTTGTAGAATGACAAAAAGGGATGATAGCCCATATGGTCAACACTCATCATTGACTTCAATATGTTTTTATTTTACAACCAAAGAAGCAGATGGGTAACTGAAGCTTTTCCAAGTTATCCAAGGGCAAGTTCAGAGACCTTATCCTCAAAGTAAGACTGTTATTATTGCAGTTCCATTTTAATATTAATCTTCTTGGAGGGTAACAAAACTACCATTAAAAAATTCTTACTTGAATAAACATTTTCTACTTCTAAACATATCTTTAAATTATGTTAACTATTTTTGACCCTTTTTTAAACACAATGGAAGTCAACCTCAAATGGATGATTATGGAAGACTTCTGATAGAATATTTTTCATTTTTCCTTTATTATATTTCACATTCCTCAAATCTTTATTTTCTATTCTATTTCTATTTCTCTCCCCTTCCCCCACCATCTACTCAAATTATTATGGCTATTTTTAATAATAAAAGGCTATTTCGAAATCTGATGTCCTACATACATGCTCCCAAATCCCTCATAGTTTTATTGTTGTATTCCTTTCTCAGGGATTGGAGTTTGGCTTTTATAACACCAAGGAGAATGAGATTTGCCTGTTTGGTAAGAACACATATACCTACACTGTTGGGTGCTGCTATAGCTTTCCAATCCAGAGTAAGGGCCCTGCAGAAGGAAATAGTCACAAGGACCTGTATGGGGACCAGAGTCAAGGAAATGTACTTTTTCAGTGATTCTCTTGGGAACATTTCTAAATCCCAGTCTTTCCACTAGGACGCCAGATTATTTTGACTTTTATTTTAAGATGGGAGGGTACCATCTAACTGGTTTATAGATGGTCTATAAGCATTTCACTTTTCCTGGAAATAGCATGAAAATCAGAAAGCTCTTAAATACAGCTTTCCAGATACATACATAGAAAACAGTCACATGACACCAAATTACAAGATATTTTTCTTTTATCTCTGATAATCAATTGAAACTCGTTTTTATTTGAATGTTTCAAATTGTATAAGAGTAATGTATGAACAGGCAATGGAGCCTAATGAGACTGACAATTAACTTTCTGCATGCCTGTAAGAAGCTATTAAATGGCTAATACTGCGAGTTAAATCATGTCCTTCTCTGTTCTCCCAAACTGTCCCCACCAAATTCCCATGTTGGAGTCCTAACCCCCAAGACATCAGAATGTGATTTTATTCATAGTATCTTTATAGACGTAATCAAATTCAAGTCATTAGAATGGTCCCTAATTGAATATGACTGGTGTTTGTTTAAGGAGGAAAACAGCTAGTACAGGGAGAACATCATGTGATCATGAAGACAGCTATCTTGGTCATATCCAAGCCAAAGAGAGAGGCCTGGAACAGATCTTTCCCTCACAGCCCTCAGAAGAAGCCAAACCTGTGAACCCCTTAATTTTGGAAATTTAGTCTCTGGTACTATAAGGAAAGAAATGGTTGTTACATCACCAAGGCTTTGAGACTTTGTTACAGTAGTAACAAATACAACCACCTACTTACTTTTTTCCCTGGAAATGAACTGTTCAACTTTTGGCACTCTTCAACTGTTCATTATTGCTGAAAACACATTTCTATATTAATTTCATATTTGATCTCTTAATTATATGGGAAAAATATATGCTGCTCTTTAAATGGTAATGTCACAGATTTCATAATTGTCTTACATCATGGCAGGAGAAATTGAGAATCACCTAAAACAATCTTCACAATACAAATTGTGAAATACACGGAGGCAAGTAGATGTTAGAGGCTTTTTAAGGTCACTTAGCTATTGGTGAAGATAAATAATATGGCTCCCAGTGTTATGTGTCTCTACTGCAGAGCAAAGCCACTCTTAGCTAATAGCTGAGAATTAAATAATAAAATGATTTTTCCTGTATGTCATGTTAAAAAATGTTTAAAGTCAGGTTAATGAAATAAGTAGAACCAAGATTACAAAAACTAATTTATTCAACTGAAAGTATACTCTACAAAGTCCTTACACTAACATATTCTCAGACTATAGATTTCACTGTTATTATGGCAGTTACATTTTTGTAGTATTTTGAGATAAACTCAATAATTACAGGTGGCTCATAACTCAGTTTTTCTGTGGAAAGATTAGTATTTTCTTTAGAATTCTGCATATCCAAGCTGGTGAAATTATTCAGAAGATGAATTTGTGCATTTGCTAATTCTCAATATTAGCTTCTTCAAGCAGCAGTGTACACATGCAGGGAATTTTCAAAGAAAAATACTACTTTGAATTCAAGTTTAATTGCTATTTATCATGCTGCTAATTAATTTTGGATAGATCCTTTCTGTTTCTTTTCTCTGCCAATTATTTCCTTTGATCCTGACTTTTCTTTGAGGAGACTCAGGGTAAATAAGGTAGGAATCTTCAAGTTACCAACATGAAAGAGAACTTTGATTCTTTACCCTAAAGGGTACAACAAAGATGGGCTGGTTAAATGACAATAAACTGGATTTCAACTCAAAACAAAGGACACCTTTAAACAGCACTATAATGTGATGGAATTGTCTGCAGTGAAAGATCTACAGGGTTAGTCACCAGTGAGACACTAAGCCATTAGACCATGTGGGGGACTTCCTTAAAAAGAATTCAAGCAATAATTGGAATTGATTAAACAGCCCATATAGTCTTTTCCACTCTAGAAGTTTAAGGTTCTATGAACTCAGCAGTGATCTCACAAAGCTAACTCTTCACCTCAGTTAACTAAGACTCATTCCTTCATATTCTTAACAGTCTTTCAGTATGATGTGTAACTGGTTTAATTAACATACATTTAGATGACACAAGGATGAAACACCAGTCACACCTCATATATGTCAAGCTAGAAGCAGGGGTCAGGCCAGAATTATTCTGTTGTTACTCATTTATTAATATGAGATTATACATTTTCTGGTAGATTGGGTGAGAACAACAGGATTTCCTAGAATTGTGAAAGTTAAAATTACTTTGTCACATTAGTCCTTGGAGTTGTTTTCTAAAGAGCCAAAAAACACATAGTACACCATGAGATAATCAATTACTAACCTCTTTCATTTTTTCCAGTTCATTCTGTAAAGCTTGCTTTGCAATTTCAACTTCTATGAGCTGTTGCCTCAGTTTCTCATTTTCATCTTCTGTTGTTGTTCTCTTTTCTTCTACATTTTCCAATTCATGGTGAAGTCGGACGGATACGTCCTTTGCAACCTAAATGGAAATGTGGGTAATAATAAAATAGAATTAAAGAAGGTATAATAATTGAACTAAAATTTTATTCACATTGAGAGTAGTAAGAGTCAATTCATGTGAGAGGGTACTTCAAAGACTTCACAGAAAGTTGAATTACAAGTTTATTTTGATGCAAAGAGAAACAAGAAATGCATCTCAGTTTTTTAATAATATGCATTTCCATGAACTTTTTGTAAATATCTCATTTAATACTTAGAATATGCCAAGCAGTATTCCAAACACAATACATAAAAGCCATTCACTTTTATCAACAAACCCTCACCACATCCCTGTGATTTAGTTACTATTATTACCTTTTTTGTTTATGAATAGACTGTCAGAGAAGTGAGGCAATATGCTCAAGGTCACATAGACAAAAAGTAGGTAGGCAGTCTGACTCTAGACTTTGCTCTCATAATTTCCTCATTCTAATATGGTAATAAATATTCAATTGCATTTCAGCATTGCAGAGAAATACATATTTCTCCTAATTCTACAACAAAACTATGAAATAGATGCTTCTCTTCCCACTTAGGTCAAAAACTGGGAAACAGAAATTTCCACAAGTGGGGATGAGCTTGGATTTGGGCATGGATTTGTAACTGGAATTCCAGATGCTTAATTTTAGAAAACATTTTAGTTCTGGGAACTAATTTTTTTTTAATGACCTATGTTTTGAGATTATCTTGGAAATATAGATTGGAAGAAAGGTGGATAATGCTTGCTACGGCACCTGTTGCATAGTGTGTGCTCAACAAATGTTCGGAAAAGTGATAAAAAAGTAATACAATGACTTTCACGAAATGTTTACTTAGAGCTCTCTTTAAAATTAATATAGGACAATTATACTTGATTTCTATATTGCCAAGTTAATACAGTTAAAATTATATTAATTGAGATGAGCATTGTGGCACAGAGGGTTAAATTGCCACTTGGGAACCCCACATCCAATACTAGAGTGCGCGGGATTGAGTTTGCCTCTGTTTCAGATCCAGGGACAGGCTAAGGTGTTTGGAAGGCAGCAGATGATGGCTCAATTAGTTGATACCTTACAACATTGTGGGAGACTCAAATGGTGTTCCTGGCTACTGGCTTCAGCCTGACCAAGGTCCTGGTTGTTACCATCATTTGGGGAGTGAATGAGTGGATTAGAAATCTATCTTCCCTCCTCCTCTCTGTAATTCTTCTTTTCAACTAAATATAAAGCTTTTTTAATATATATATATATATATATTGCCTAAGACCGTGAACTTAATATCTGTCTTGCATTGACAATGAATCTGCCTACAAACCGATCCACACTTTTCATAAAAAATGCATTTTCAGGATGAGATTTATCCACTGGGACAGGCACTGAAAGTGCAACTTTGCTTTAAAAATGAATTCTTACATTTACTTCACCCTCCTTTACTTCTCCAAATGGACCGCAATTTGGCCAGTGGTTTCAAGTGCTAAGTACAGGAAGGAAACAGCCCTACAAGAAGGCTGAGGAGGCGGGCAGGAAGGGAACTGTAGGAAGAAATCTTAACTGATATCTTCCCAGTGCTGCTCCAATTCAAAGACACAGCTCCTCTGGAGAGCTTGATCTCCAGTGTCTGATTCCACCCAGTGTTCTCTGGAAAGACAGACCCTGGATCCCAGATCAAGATCAAGGACAAGGCCAGAGCCTATGCTTTGCCAGGCACCTGCTTCATCCTAGGAGGAGGCACCCTCTTCCCACCACCTTTGGAAGAGCCACTGATGCTCCCAGGAGAGTCCACCAGAGTCCTCCTCAGCCAAGCCCTTCACATTCACTCTTTAGGCCCATCCGCAGTTCCTCCCCTTTCACAACCCTGATACTTCGTGGTCAGCACTGCTAAAGCTCCTTGCCCAATCGCCACTGAAGAAGGCACTGCGCAAAGAAGCCCGGACAAAGTGCCCACCCACCGCCCCTGCCGCGCCCCCCAGAGCCCCCGCGCCGCAGACCTTGAGGTCCTGCTCCAGGCTGCGCAACAGCTCCCCGTCGATTTCCCCTGTCTGTGCGTAGCGGAGCCTTTTGCGCTCGGCTTTGCGGAGGCGGTACTGCAGGATCCGGCAGTTTTTGTTGGCTCTCTCCAACTCATGGCGCATTTCCTGCAGTTGACAGGCATCCTCCTCGAAGAAAGTGTCCCTCATCTCGTCCATCTCTGTTCTCAGCTCATGGATCTCGTTCTGGGGCGGTGACAGGCCGCAGGTCAAAATCAGCCTCGCCTCCAGCCCCTCGGACAGACACCTTGTACACCCCATTCCCAACTCCACATTCTCAGCTTTACTGCCCCTGTCCACGAGGCAGGATGACAAGGGGATGGATGAAGGAGCAGAAACTAGAAAAACAGGTACACTTTTGGCCTTCTCTCGTTCTTACTCTAGCCCTTTCCAAGGAAAAAGTGGAACAAACCACGATCCTTGGGAGAAACGAAGGCCGAGATTTGTTTTTAAATGAAAAACTGACGCTACTCACATCAGACTCTGCTTCAATCCGAACTAGGCCTAGGTGATCCCACCCCCAGTCCTCCTCCCCCTCTTCTTCGTTCCCCTGCGTCTCCCAGGTTAGCGGCTGCTCCCCCTTCGGGACACGCCCTAATCCTCTAGGGCCCCACACCTCCCCTCCCCCACTAGCCTCCTCTCCCCTCCTCCCTGCCCGCCTCACCTTGAGAGTCTCGTTCTCCTCTCGCAGCTTCTCCATCTCCTCCTGCATTTCCTCCTGCTCCTGGAGCTGCAGCGGGTGCGGCTGCGACGAAGGGGGCGCCGCCGCCTGCATGCCGCCACCGCCGCCGCTCGCGCTGCCCTCTGCGCTCTGCTGGGGGCCCTCCGCCGCGGCCGCCATTGGGGAGGCGGAAGGGACGCCGAGGGCTTCGCAAATGGCTGGCCCGCCAGCGACCGGGGAGCCGCGGCTACTGCTGCCGCCGCCGTTCTTAGTGTGCATCTGAGCCGCGGCGGCCGCCGCCGCCGCCCGCTCTTTCTTGAGATGAAACTGGATGAGCTCAGACTGCAGGCATCCTTCCTTCCAGTAGCTCCCGCCGCTCCCCACAACGCCACTCCCGGAGTTTCTGCTCCCCGGGCCTGAGGTTTTGCCCGCAGAAGAGGATGATGGCGAAGGGGAGGCCCCCTCCCCGCCGCTGCCGCCCCTCTGCTGCGCGCGGACGCCTTTCCCTCGCCAGCCCCTGGGCGGCGGCGGCGGCTGCGGAGCGCCCCCCTCCCTTTCCCCGGAGCCGCCACCGGCTCCTCCTCCTTCCCCGCCCCCTCCTCCTCCTTCCCCGAGCGGAGGGGGTTCCCCGATTTTTGAGGGCACTGACTCTGACTCCCGGGGCGGCTCGTCTGGCGGCCCGGGCCTCCTGCCGCCCACAGCGGCCAGGGTCGTCGCGGGGGCCGCTTCAGCACCAGCCGCGGACTGGACAGCTCCCGGGGCAGCCCCTTTGGGCGCCAGGGGCACCGCCTTCTCCGCCCCGCCTCCGCCTCCGCGGGCTCCGGCCGCGAGCGCTGCGCGGCTCCCGGACTTGTTACCCTGCTGCTGCTGCTGTTGCTGCTGTTGCTGCCGAACGGAATTGAGCTTCGAGCCGGCGCCCACCGGGGTCCGGGTGGCCACGGCTGCCTGTCGGAGAGAGCTGTCCCTGGGTCTAGCGGGCGACTGAGCTCTTTGCTGCTTTCGGCTGCTGCCCTCCGGGTGCAGGCGAGCCTCGGTGGCTGCGGCGGCGGCGGAAGCTGCGGCTGCGGCAGGGGCAGCGCCCCCGATCGGTGGCTGACTCATGGCGGTGTAGGAAGCACCTACCGGATGCGATTTGGAATGGTTGATCACTAGATCATCCTCTTCCTCCTCACCACCACCAACCTTCCTTTCTAAGCAGGGACAGAAACAAAACAAGGCAAGCACATAGCATGTCTGCGTTGTTACAAAGGGTAGCTTTGCGGTAGTAGAGGAGCCCTCCAAAATGTAAAGATTTGAGAAGCGCCTGTCAGAGGCCCTGACTCTAGGAATAAGATGCAGAGCTGTCAGTTCTCATTTCACCCCAGGGTGGCGCTGCCTCCATCACACTCCAGCTCAGCTTGATGAGGCCGGATCTGAAAGGGGCTGAACCTTACCTTCTCACAGTAGCACGTTTTGAAAAGGGTGAGATAACAGAAAGGAAGTGCTAAGAAGGGAGATATGAAAGAAAAGAGGGTAAGGGTTGATTGAGAAGAAGCCTCTGAAGGAAAAGGAGATGTCCACATGCTAGAATAGACAAACTCCTGCTTCTTCAACGTTGGCTTTGTTCACCATCGAATCTGCAAAGCCTAGTTTAGTGAAAAGCTTTATTTAATTAGTATTACTAAGTGTCAATTAGAGGGAGAGTCATGATGCAGATTCTTGGAGAAAATATGCTATGGATAAGTGATATTTTTCCTGAGCAGCTCCAATCCCTGATGTTGACTTTAGAGAAATGTGCTCATGTACCTTTAGAATAGATCTAAAATAAAATATAAATAATGGATGACTTTAAATAAACTTTGATATCAATAAAAATCATATGATTTAGTCCTTAGCAACTACAAAGGTTCTTTGCTTTTAAACTTTGGGAAATAATTTTAAAAATACATTTGGAAAAGTTGATTGGCAGTTCTACGGTTTCCTGTTGCAAGTGATAAATTTTTCTACACTTACCTAGTTTCATAGTTCTTGTGAATAATTTCAAATGTAATTGCTAGACAGGATATGTTTGCATTCTTACGCATCTTCCCAGGTGGTATATCACAGATAACATTGTACTTTAAAGCCCCATACCCTGCTATGGAACCGAATCCTGAAACAGAAAAATGCTGCACCCAGGAAGCTGGTGCATTTCCCCTCATGGCAGTAAGATCAATTTCCATTGTGTATCTTGCCAAGATAAACCTATCCACTGGGGCTGGCAATCTATAAAGTAGCATGCTACTGCTTCAGGCACTCTTCTCCCTCCTCAGTGACCAGGTGGTCTCGTCAGCTGCTCAATTTAATGCTTTTCTTTTCTTAGAAACAATATTTTTCTCCAAATAATAGATAAGGATATGACTAGGCATAAAGTTCTGCTTTAAAAAGTAAATGCTTTTAAGAAAGGAGATGGCTTGCCATTCACTTTACTGTTATGATTCCTGTTATCCATTTTAGTATCATAACTTAGCATTCAGTAATTCCTCATATTATAAAAAATATTAATAGGTGGTTCCTTCATTCTCTCCCTTTCTGTTTTTGCAATTCACTCTGCAATATAAAGGTGAACAAAGTTGTAGGTCCACTTACATGCTACATCTCTCAGAGCTCCTATGTTACTACAATATTTGGCCTGGTTCATACCCAGTGGTCACACAAATGTGGGCCACTTTACTTAGTTTATATAGCCAATATGAACGTACTTTTGTTTTTAATTAGACATGATCACTGATAAGCCATGGATCAATGCTTAAACTGGCCCCTACATAACCTCAACCCAGGAGAACGCCCAGGGCTCGAGGAACTGGGCTCCATGGTCAATGGCACCTGCTGCTGTCACATGGTCCTTAAAAAGTGACAACATGCTGTGTCTCTCCTAGGCTTGCTCTGTGGAAATCACCACCCACACAAACCAGCATGGCCCAAACCTACACTTTTAAATCTCTAGTTTTATCTGCCTACTGACCCACCGCATTAGAAATCCAGAACTGCTCACTTCTCAGCAGAGGAGATGTTTCCAAGACGATGCAAATCAACAGCACTTTCCTTCCGATATTCCAGGGATCTCATAGAGTTTGCTTTTGTGTCTTTCAGAGCAAAGTTCAGCTTCGCGGTATTATATGCGACTTTCTGGCTGAGCAGGATTGGTGGGACCCTTGGTTCCAGTTCCACACTCACGCGATTTCTCCAAACAATGGCGCTAACGTCAAGAGCCGGTCACTTCCAGGAGGTCCGCGGCCGGGCTGGCGCTGCGCTCGCTGCAGGCGAACGCCCGAGGTGCCAAGCAGTGCCAGACGCTGCCCAGGAAGTGCAGAGATATTCATGAGCTGACTTCACCGGACTGGGCAGGGGAAAGGGCGGGATTGCAAGGGAGGACAGAATAGAAGTAACCAGAGAGCGGTTACTTTCAAGAGAAAGGAAAAGAGCGCGGGGATATGGGTGTGGGAGAGGGCGTGCAGCACCAGGAAACAAAAAGGCCTGAGCCACGCCCGAGAAGGAAGACCGGCAGCCGCGCTCAAAGTCCTTACTCCACACTCATGTCCCGTACTTGGCAGAAGATTCCCGACCCGCTTAAAATCGGATGGCGTGGTTTTCTGCAAAGCTTTGTCTTGGGTCCAATCAATCTCCATCAATTATTAACTGGAGTTCTTTTCCCAAGGAGGCTGATTCCAAGCGCCTTCCGGGCGTGTCTGGCGTCTCCGATGCAGCTGCGAGGCTGCTGGCGGGCGGCTGCTGGGAGTTCTCTTTGTTCGCTGACTTTAATGCTCAGAAGAGCCCTCTCTCCACGCGGTGCTCCCTCCCCGTCTGGAGCCCGGGCGGAGTCAGCAGACGTCGTTTCCACGAATAGATAATGGTTGCCAGACCCACCATCCCAAAGACAAAGGAATCTTGCGAAGCTGCACTAATTCAACCTAAGCGGAATAAATATCGGCATAAAGAGGTCGTTTACAGACCAGTTGCCCCCGGTACATTTTCATATTTGCTTTTACTGAGGGCCAGTATTCACTGTGAAAAGAGGGAACAATCCTGGGATCCCTGATGTTTATTGAGCCTGGGATAACAGGAAGAATGCGTTGATAAAATATCAATTTGAAAATGAATTTTAAAGAAAAGAGGACGAAGAATTCAGAATATATGCGTTACAATTTATATTGCTCCAGTAATAATATTTTTTAAAATTGAGTGGATATTTCTCATTTTCTTTACAATTTTTGGGGTGGAATAACATAGGGAAGCTCCTTCAAACTACAAAGAATTGTTGTTGGTGTTAGAACTGAAAACAGCAGCAAGCAGTGTTTTGAAAGGACATTTAAAAAAAAATTTCTCTGACATTAATATGGAGGTTTAGTAGGTAAAAGGAGGTAAATATCACAAAAATAGAATAATGGACAATGCTAACCTAAGTTTTGATGTAATAAATTTTGCTTTCCTAATGGAAGTCTTGTGTCAATAGTGAAGTAAAAACAATTGATAAGTAGTTTGCATATAAGCAGTCATTGTAGCAATGCAAAAATGTGTTCAGGCCCTGGTGATTAATATCTCCAGTGACATATAGACAAGTATCGTATCACAACAAAATCATTTATCTTCCAAAACGGATATTAAGAGCCTATCTTATGCCTGGCACTGTCCAAGGTGCTGGGGATTCAAAGATAAATCAAGACATTGTTCCTGGGCTGGGAAGCTTCAAGCATATTGGTGAGAATTGAGACAACCTTGAAACACTTTGGGGAGATGGGAAATAATCTGTGACATATATGATGAAAGGCTCAAAATTTTATTAACATACCAAGAATAAAGGGGAAAAAGACAAAGGAAAAATGCAACCACATTATTTGGAATTTTTATTAGACAATTTTTCATAATGTACCCAAACTTGAGCTGTAATATCCCTAGGAAATGCTAAGATTCAAAGGCTTCATTCAAACAAAAATGCATAATAATATGATTAAAATATTTTTTCAGATAAATATTTACAAATAAAATTTTGCCACTATAAATAAATGTAGTCTAGAACATAAAACATACTTGGTTCTGCTTTTTTAAGAACTCGTACTCTGCTCAAGTATTTATATTTCAATTTATTCCTAAGTTAGTATTACTTCAATGCAATTAGCAACTTTAGAAAGCCCAACAAAAGTTAAGAATCAATTATCAGCTCAGTGCTGTGGCATGGCAGGAGAGGCCACCTTCTGTAGTGCCGGCATCCCAAAGTTTTTGTCATATGAACTTAGACAAGTCAGTTGAACTTTTTTTTTTTTCACTTATCCATTCATTTATTTATTCCTACACATAAAATATACTGCTAAATTAATATTATTAAAGTACTTGATTTATGTGATTATCCTTAAGAAATAGTGTAGCTATTCATCACAGTGAAAGGAACACAATAATTGTAACTAATGATAAGTAATGATTACTATGTAACTGGCACTGCAATGATTACTATGTGCCTGGAAATACTACTTATTCTATTATCTGTCATTGTTACTATTATTATTTTGTCAATATTGTTTCATTGCTTTTTACCAAATTTTTTTTTTATTTGACAGGTAGAGATATAGACAGTGAGCGAGAGACAGAGAGAAAGGTCTTCCTTCCGTTGGATCACCCTCCAAATGGCCGCTACAGCCAGAACTACGTCAATCCAAAGCCAGAAGCCAGGTGCCTCTTCCTGGTCTCCCATGCAGGTGCACAGCCCAAGCACTTGGGCCATCCTCCACTGCCTTCCTGGGGCAACAGCAAAGAGCTGGACTGGAAGAGGAGCAACCTGGACTAGAACCCGGAGCTATATGGGATGCTGGTGCCGCAGGCGGAGGATTAACCAAGTGAGCCACGCGCCAGCCCGCTTTTTTCCAAATTTTGTCATTCATGAATTTCTATAAAATTAACTAATGTTACACCATTAGAAAAACTTGGTTGGGGCCAATGTTGTAGCCCAGCAGGTTAAGCTGCTGCTTGCAGACACCAGCATCACATGTGAGCACAGGTTCAAGCCCCTGGTGTTCCAGTTGTGATCCAGCTTCCTTCTATTGTGCCTGGGAAAGCAGAGGAAGATGGCCCAAGTGCTTGAGCCCTTGCCACCCATGTGGAAGACCTGGATGGAGTTCTTGTTTCCCTGATTCAACTTTGCCTAGCCCAGGCTGTTGTGACCATTGAGGGAGTAAAACAGCAGATAGAAGGTTTTCTTTCTCTCTCCCTCTCTCTAACTCTATCTTTCAAATAAATAAATAAAATATCTTAAAAAGAAACATGGTTAATTTTGGATTATTTTACAATGGTCCATCTGGATGGTAAATACCTTGAGATAATATTCCTGTTTTCCTCATTATTTCAAGCAGAGAGTTGGAAACATAGGCGCTGGTTAATATACACAAATAGATTTGTAGTGTCCTTACAGAAAAAAACACATGATGTTTTGGGGTCCATCCTCTGGTTTTTGAGAGCAGTTTAGCTTGGAACTGTGCCATTATTGTGACCTTTACTGCAATTTGTATGCAGTAATGCGTCACATTTTTCTCTGAATTATATTTTAGATAATAACTAATGAATCATAGATTTCTTAGGTTGTAAACACCATGATTCTTCTTTTCATCTCTAAAAAGGCTACCCAACCTATATTTTACATTGGGTCTAGTGTAATATTAGGCCTCTCAATAAAGACTCTTCTACAATGTTGCATTGTACTTTTACACATTTTACAAGTTAATGTTATGGCCCAAAACTTACAGTTTAATTCATAGACTGGATTCAGGCTACTTTGTGAATGAGTTGCTTCTCTACTATAAGTACTGTAGTTACTCATGTCATTGCTGTTATGTAAATATGTAGTTGGGTCTTGGATAATCAAAATTATATTGCATTACTTCTGTAAATCATGAATAGTCACTCTTGGTAATTAAGATCAGTATCTAGCCACACATTATTGGTAAAATACTATTGTATGCCTGATTTTAACTTGCCCCCATTTTCAATCTTAACTTAATCTAAATAGAACATTTTTGGTAATGATTTTACTTATTTGAAAGACAGAGTAACAGACAGGAGAGAGAGATCTTGATATCTGCTGATTTTCTCATCAAATGCCTGCAACAACTAGGGAGTTAGGCCAAAGGAAAGGACCGGGAGCTCCATCTGGGTCTCACACATGGATGGCGGGAACCCACTTGGACTGTCATCCTCTGTCTCCTAAGCACATTAGCTGGAAGCTGGATCAGAAACATGAAGTAGATGGAACTTGATTCAGGCACTTCAGTATGGGATGTAGGCCTCTCAGGTGGAGGAAGCTGCTATGCCACAACTCCCACCTCAAAGTGAAGATTTGGTGCTTTTTATATGAATGCTATATACATTTGATATTACCATTAAATCTAATATCACAGTTTAATAACTCAGAATCATCAAAATCCTGTATTAACATTTTGATAATTCATTAACTACTTTTTCTTGCTGAAGGTCTCAACATTCATCAATAGTTACTCTACCTTAAAAATAAGCACAGTAGGTCCATTCTCATTATGTCTGACAAACAAGTTTGGCATCCTAAGTTTTCCATTCCCCAGTGGAGAATTTGAAGACAAGGTGTCGCTCCCCCTCTTCGCGGAGGAACGACACAGGACCCTGCGCTGTTCTTTTGTCTGCTCGGCCCTTCCCGGGTTTGCTGCTGGTTCTTCCCGGGTTGGCTGCCGACCCCTCCACCTCCGTGGAGGGGCGGGCCCCCTGCCACTTTCCCCACTTCCGCGGGGGAGTGGCACACCGCCGGCCGGCTCTCTTGGGGGCTGCTCAGATGTTCCTTCAGATAGATGTTCCTGGTGCATGTTGTCTCTCTCCTCCTTTATAGTCCTCTTCCACCAATCCCAACTCTGCTACCCACACGCCGAGTACCCTGCTCTCCTCCAATCAGGAGCAGGATCAGCTCCTGCAGGTCATCACTCAAGTTGGCGAGAGGCAGCTGCGTAGAAGCTGTTTACTCCCTTCTCAGCGCCATATTGTGGGAGAGCAGATGCATAGAATAAGTCTTAATTCCAGTAACTTAGTCTAGTCCGAGTTGCTCCCCACAACAAGGTTTTGATTTCTAGTTCCTATATTCTCCTATGCTATCTTAACAAAAGGTGGCTAAGGTTTTCCTGTATAGACATAATCTAGCAAAGATCTGAGTAACTAGAAATATATCTGATAGATTTTCTCTCTCTCTCTCTCTCTCACACACACACACACACATATCACATATCAAATATCTGGCAAGTAAATTGTGAAGGTAATACTTTAATATTCAATTGATCCAGTTATATAAAAATAAGAAAATACCCTTCTGTATTTTATATAGTAATATCTTTCTTTACTTGATTTTAAAAATCAACAAGGTTTTCATTCAATGTGAAGGCAACAGACTTTTGTTATTATATATATTTTGCAAAGATCAGATACTCTCATCTAAAAGGATGTTGGATTTCTTTTTTTAAGATTATTTGTTTATTTGAAATTCACAGAGAAAGGGAAAGACAGAGAGACAGATCTTCCATCTGCCAGTTTACTCCCCAGATGGCTGCAATGGCTGGGGCTGGGCCAGGCCAAAACCAGGAGCCAGGAGCTTCATCTTGGTCTCCTTGTGGGTAGCAGAGGCCCAAGTACTTGGGTCATCATCTGCTGTTTTTCCCAGGCTGATAGCAGAGAGCTGGATCAGAAGTGGAGCAGCTGAGACATGAACTGCCACACATATAGAATGCTGGTGCTGCAGGTGGTAGTTTTACCCACTATGCTTCAATGCAGAACCCATGTAGATTTTTTTGATGATTCATTC